TTTAGCGGGTATAGCCAAAATCCAAGTGGTGCTGCTTCTCTTAAATTGGGTCAACATTCTGTCATGAGCCCCTACGTCACCACGGGTTTAAACCAGCCTTCAATGGATGCTGCTATGTACATGCAATGGCCAAATGCAGCAGCTGTGATGTATACTCATTCATATGACCACTTCAGAAACGCCCCTTTTCAGGTAAACAAGTTTTTGCCTAGATCACAATGTCACACTCAAGAGTGAACGTGGATTTTACATCACATCTGAATTAGTGGTTATCAAGTGTTTAAAAGGGTTTGTTGTTTCTGCAGGCGCAGTTCTATCCGCAGCCCCTTAGCTTCGAGTACATGCAGAACGGGTAATCCCTTTTCTCATCATGGCTAATGATTTGTGTAATCCAAATTTTGAGACAGTTTTGATGTTGAAAATAGAACAAACAAAACCTTGTGATTATTGTCATTACCTTGTCTTTTATTACTATGTTATGCTGAAGCATTGACGTAACGAGGAATCGAAGATAATTAAATCGAGCGGTTGTGGTGAAAAAAAATGATAACATCATACAAAGGTTAAATAAATCGTTCGTGTAAAAAAATAATATACACTAACAATACATTATTAATCCTGACGAAAAATGCAAATTACATAGATAATCCATATACCTTAACATTATTACTTTCATAAATATGAAGTTAAGTAGTTAACAATACAAAATAATTCATCAATTTCCGGCAGGGAAGAGCTTAAGAATCTTCCTACCACCATCTCCATGACCATATTCCGAATCCTCATACCTCAGATTACGAACCACTTGGTTTTGCTGCGTAATCACATGTTTCCCCAAATACGAATGCTGTAATGGCGGCATCAAGTACTCAGGGCTCAAGAAATCCACCGGAACCGGCGAGCCAGCGAATAGCCGATCGGTAGCCGAATCGGAGACGATGACGTGTCCACCGGAGATTCCGTTACCGTTCCCGCCTTGCATTCTCCTAAGGTAAAGACGGTATTTCTGAAGATGACTCGCAACGTTCTCTCTAGTCAATCCTTCAACGCTCATTAGCTGCATTATCGTCTTTGGAACTGCGTTTTTGATCCCTAAATGTCCGACTGCGTCCACAAAACGTTTGTGTAGCTGTGGCGTCCACACTAAACGCGGTCGTTTCAACGTTCTTGCTGGCTCTCCTCCGATCGATCCTGAACCAAGATCCGTGGAATCACCACCGCCGAAATCAGAATTCATCATCATCGGTGGAGGAGTTGGAGTCGGAGTTGGAGTGGCGGATGGTTGAAGCTTTTGGTGATAAATCGCGGTGGTTCTCTTTGATCCGAGATGATGATTAGGACTTCCGATTTGGAAAGCGAGAGCTAGATGAGGAGTGATTAAGGTTTGAGAGATAGGGATGAGTTCTTCCGGCGATGGAAGCTCTTCTTCCCATCTAAGGAACCAATTCGGATTATCTTCTCTCATTTTAGCGGCGGTGATTGTGACGACGGAGGAGAGAGGTTCGAGGTGGATCTTTTGGTGAGGAAAAAGAACAGCAAAGTAAGTAGTAGTTATTATTGTCAATATTGGCTAGATTTTATATACGGAGGAAAGAGAGTGATTGGCTGATTCCATTTCTCTCGAATAATGTGTTAATGGGGTTATGGAACACGGAATAAATTGATGATTCTTTATTAAAAGATACACAAAATACAAAGAATAAGAAAGAGGATAATTGAAAATCCTAACTCAAAACAAAAGTAATGAACTGTCATTGTCATACATGGTTCGGTTCATGGCATCCAAATTGCCAGTTTTTGTGTTCCATGCGAATTGTTTGCCTCAAGATTTTATTTCTTTATTTGTATTTCTTATTAGTGATATTGCAATAATTCTTTGGTAGAAGGAAAAAAACAAGTAACTTAAGAATTGACCACATAAGAATGCGCCAATAGTTGAGCCGACATGATTAGAATAAAAGGAATATGATTAGATTACACCGAAGGCAGAGAACCTTATGACAGAAAGAAGAAATCTCAATCTTACATTAATATAATCATTATGTCCTAGTTAAGACGAAAACTATAAATCCCGAATCTTTCTATAAGTTTAAAGAACGATGATTATTAATTGAGGATATCTCAAACTGAAAGTGTGATAGAAAAAAAAAAAAGAATGGAAGAAGACGACAAAAATAGTTAAAGTTGATAATTGAAGAGATTGGTTTTACTTTTTGTTTGTTTGGATCTGTCATTGTCTTATGTGTTTTATCATTTATGAGTTATGGTCCGAACCATCAGAAAGATTCTTGGCGTTCCACGTGGCGCGTGGTTTCTCACGCGTTCATGTTGCGGGTGGTGTTATTGGAAACAGAACCTTGTCGTACAATTGGTCTGAAGTACGCATGAGATTCCACGCGCAGACATGGATTAGGTTAGGCAACTTATTAAATTAACTTCAGTTAGTGGGTTCGTTGGTTGTCTCTTAACCATGCGTGTTATACTTTTTTCCATTTAACTTTATTTTTCTTTTCTTACTATGAATTTATTTTAAATCTTGTAATTGCATTGTTATTGCTTTTTTTTAGTCTAGATATCACATTTTCAAAATAAAATCAAACATCTAGATTATTTTAGGTATTTTATATTATTATTTTCAATAAATATGCAAAACAACTTTAAAATCACTTACACTGGAATTCGGAGATACATGGAAATTTAATTGTATTGGTATCACGACTTATATAAATAAACTATTACAGTATGTAAATATATTATAACACAAAAGTATGGGTTGAGAGTGGGACTTGTGCTGCATTAACATATAAATCAGAAAACTTTTTAGGTATGAACTATGTACAAGTAGTAGAGTGGTGTGAAATGATTAATATTCCAATTTTAGGTTCGGCGTGTGATGCGAAATAGTAAGGAAGCTAAATCTGATAGCTCAAATTTAAATTTGGAATAAAAAAGTCATAGAATTTCATGTAACAACTATCCGTTTATGGGAAACACTATATATGCTCCAATTTTATGTAGGTGTAGAGCCGGACCTCAGCACATTCAAAAGAAACAATACAATGGGATCCCCACTTTTTCTGAAAAAAATCTTTTACAAAAGGGCTCCATTTAAAAAAAAAAATTATTATAGAAAAAAAAACTATTGATATTGTTATTTTGAGAAAATTATAATAGGGCCCAAAATTGGTTGGTCCGGTTCGGTGTAGGTGGTTGCACATAAACCATAATTAGAATTTCTCTAAATTTATCCGAAATGAATAGAACATAAAATGGTTGCACATTATTTTGAGTGAAAGTAAATCTATAACCCAAAATCTAACATGATAAAATGGTCGGCTGATCAGCGGCGAGTCACAACTCAATAAGCCGACTAACTAATTGACCTAATAATAATTTTTTAAAACAACTTGCTTTTCTAACCTAAATTTTATCCATTTACAATTATTAAATTTTTAGAAGAAGGCCAAAATGAAATAGACTAAAGTGTCCAGTGGCCAACCCCTCAGCACCATCTTGTATATTTTAGAAAATAAAATGAGATAAGGAATCTTCTTCCGAAGTCACCAAGACAATAAGTGAAACTAGACAAGAACTGTCCCCTTGATTTCTTTTGCACCAAATTATTATGGATTTTTATAAGCGATCCTTACTTAAGGCCAGTTAAGCACAAAAGAGGGTTTTTATGCAATATCCTTTTGGCGAAAAATAAATAAAGATGCAATATCCTTTTTGAAATAATAATGTTAATTTTTTAAAACAACAAATTAAAACCTTTTTTAATTCTTGAAAATACATTGCGAATAGCAGAATGATTTAAAGCGGGGAATCTTTTTTCTTTTTAACTGTGGGAAAGAATAAGATAATTCATGACCCATGTGATGCCCATGTTTTATTATAACTGCATGGGCTCGGGCTTTCTTTTTCTTTATTTGTTAAGGGTCCAATTTCGAGAGTAATGTACTAATGTAAATCCACATTCTGTTCTCTCGATCAGTGACAATAAAAGTTGTGTAGTTTCACTGACATATAGATACATAGTTAGAGAAATCATTGTTTTTGTTTTGTATATTAAGTGATGTTTAGTCTAGACATTGAAAAAGGGTGAATTGTGTAGTCTAGTCTACATAGAAATCATTGTTTTTGTTTTTAATTCATTGTTGTTGTTTTTAAGAAAGTAGAAACATATTATTGCATTAATCAATAAAAACAATTATATACTATGTAGTCCAACAAATCAAAAGTAGTCAATAACATGAAACATACAGTATATAGAGTATTACGAATAAGGAATTTATTGTAAAGGCAGATGAGCATGCAAAGAACATCCATGAAGAATTCTCTTCCATATGTTTCCAAACAAACCTTTAAATGCCATCACATCATCTATTTAACCCAATAAATATGACCTTGAGATCTTCTGTTATGAAAGATATCACTTTGAGTTGGGAGATCTTTATCAACTATCCCTGAATTTTGATGTGGGACAAGACAAGCAAGGAGAAGCTGCACAATTAATTCCATAAATTTGGAGCATAAGTGGGCCGTCATTGGGTAAGAGCTGGGCCCATAATGTACGAAAGTTGTCTAAAAATCTAACTACGATCTCTAATAATTTGATTCTCATTCAAGTTTCGCAGTTAATATTTGGCATTTATAATGATTTTTTTATTTGTTCATACGTTTATAATGTTGTTCATATTATGGTATTAATGTTTTTCTAACAAAGGAAATGTTTTAAAACAATGAGAAAATAATATAATTGAGATTTCTTCAACAAATAGCCGGCGTTTCAGATTCTGCTTGTAGCTAAAAACGATTCAGTGCCTAATTCCATACAATAAAGTTGGAGAATGAATATGCATAGTAAGACCGCAGTCTTTCTTCGGCCCCTATTAATTTTATTATTGGTTTTAATAATTGTAAGTGTTTCGTACTTTTGACCTGTCTTGTAATTAAAAATACATAAATAATATATATTCCCAAACAAACTACCCAAAGAATTTTTTAAAATAAAAAAAAAAAAAGGTAAGAACACAGGTCAGCGAGTTGGACTCATCAGGCTTAGAGAGAATCGCAGAAGAAAACACGAAGACGAAGCAATTGGTAACTTACACAGAGACTTGAAGAAGAAGCTTGAGGATTGGGATTTTCATTTACTGCAATGGAAGGTTCGTTGCTTTCGTTCTTAGCTCTTTTCAGATTTTCTTTTTTCCCCGTCTGCGAAAACCCTAGATTTTCCCAATCTCGAGAATTTGGATTTCACACTAATTTATAAATCCACACTAGTGAATTTCTTCTTCGGATCAGCATTATCGTAACGAGATTGTCTCTGCCCTAAATCTGATTTCGATGGTGATTTAAGAGAGACCCGAATTAAGGGGAAATTTGTATAAATCTGAGACTCAAGTAGTCTTCTTTAGAACCAATATTAGTAACAATTATTCAATTGTTTGAGTTTGAGTTTTGAAGCCGTATATTTTTGTTCTTACAGGTAAATCTCCAGACCTGGAATCGATAGGGTCTGGTACAACTACAAAGAGGTCAAGTGTTTCATCAGGAAGTCGATCTCGTACCCGTAGAGATTTCCTTGGTAGATTCACTGACAGTGCGCATTTCACTGAAAAGCTTGAGGATTGGTTTGCTTTGACATTGGATAACTCTGCGACCAGCAATGGACCGGTTTTTGATGTTCCTTTTGAGTTAGTTGAGCTTCAAAAGTTTGATTATGCATTGGAAGGGATTTCTTTCCAGCAGCTTACTCGGATGCCAAGTCCTATTTACGCTTCAACGTCTAATGCTGTTGAGGCAAAGTCATATCTAGCTATAGAGGATTTTTTACACGCCACTGTTAAGAGCTTGTGGGAGGCTTTTTGGAGTCAGGACGAGCCTGTTCCTTTCTCTGTTGGTTGTTTATACAATCAGAATCTTAAGTTTTATCAGGCTGAGAGAGCTTTAGCTCTTGGAAAGCTTGAAGGTCTTTCCGCGACAGGTATTTTGCTGAAAAATCCTCGGCATCCTCACGGGAAATGGGATCACATTCTTGAACTTGCTCTTCTAAGGTCTGACATAGGAAGCTTTGCACATGACAGTGATCGTCTTCCTTCTTTACCTGTCTTAGGCGAGGCTCTTTTCTATGCTCTCCGTATACTCATCGCAAGGAGTGTGAGCCGTTTAGATTTTTCTCAAAGCTCAAACTGTGTCTTCATTCTTCTCGTTGATTCGCAGTATGGAGGTGTTGTAAAAGTTGAAGGGGACGTAAATAAATTGGATTTTGACTTGAACAATGTTTACGAGTGCGCAGCAGACTGGATAAAGAAGCATTCCAAGATAGCAGTGTCGCCAGTTGACAGAATATGGAACAAGCTGGGAAATGCCAACTGGGGAGACATCGGTGCTTTACAAGTAGTCTTTGCAACTTACCACAGTATAATGCAGTACTTTGGGGCACCAAGGCATTCCATTGAAGACTTAGCTGCTGACCATAGTTCTCGCCTTCACTCAAGACGACAGGAGAGGCAGTTGGGAGATACTAGTCTCAATGAAAATGGTATGTTTAGGTTCCAGCATAGTACCATGTCTCCTGAAATTGTCGAAGTTCAAGAAGAATCAACCAAAATTGAGTCTGAACCTTCGATGAAACTGGAAGTTGGATCTGTTCTGTGGTTGGAGGAGTCAAACTATCAAAAAGGCTATCAGATTAACGAAATATTGACTAATGGTACACTCCCTTATCATATCGCATCGCCAGTGGACGATGCAGGGAAGTCTGTGTTTCTGTATGTTGGTTCTCCTCCTTCACAGCTTGAGCCAGCTTGGGAAGACATGAACTTGTGGTATCAGGTCCAAAGACAAACTAAGGTATTAAGTATAATGAAACAGAGAGGACTGTCTAGCAAATACTTACCGCAGCTTCATGGGTCTGGTCGGATCATTCACCCAGGCCAATGTCAAAAACCAAGTTCAGGTGGACGATGCGATCATCCTTGGTGTGGAACTCCCATTCTTGTGACCACTCCTGTTGGCGAGACAGTAGCTGATTTGGTTAACGAGGGTCGGTTTGGTACAGAAGAAGCTATTCGATGTTGCCACGATTGCTTATCTGCACTTTCGTCCTCCTCTTCAGCTGGAATTCGACACGGTGATATCCGCCCAGAAAATGTAGTTTATGTCACTTCTGGTGTAAGACATCCTTACTTTGTACTAATTGGTTGGGGTCACGCGGTTCTTGAGGATAGAGATCGACCCGCAATGAATCTTCACTTCTCCTCGACTTACGCACTCCAGGAAGGGAAACTCTGTGCTGCCTCAGATGCAGAGAGCTTGATTTACATGCTTTATTTCTGTTCTGGAGACTTCCCTGAATTGGATTCAGTTGAAGGAGCTCTTCAATGGAGAGAGACCTCTTGGTCCAAAAGATTGATTCAGCAGAAGCTCGGTGATGTCTCAGCCGTTTTAAAAGCGTTTTCTGACTATGTTGACAGTCTATGTGGGACACCATATCCATTAGATTACGATATTTGGTTGAGAAGATTGAAGAGGAATCTTTCAGAAGATCATGGGAAAGAGATTGAAACTTCAGGCTAAGCCACCATCGAGTTAGCCACCAGATAATGGAGGTCCTTATATAAACATCCGATTTCTTTTGAATATTCTTTCAGGTGCTCTCTCTGCTTAACCTGTCCGAGACTGGAAGCCTCACGATGAGACGTATCCTTCGGTTTTGCCAAGTCTGAAAAGTTTGGGACCTTGTTCTGTTCTTGTACAGGATCTTTGGAATGGATTAGATTCTGTGTTTTCCCTTCGCTGTTAATGTTCTGGTCCTTATTTATTATTGTCTTGAGAGTGATTCTCTATTATTTTATTGTAAAGGTGAGAGCTTTTGTTCCCATTTTGACTTGTGTTAAACTTAACGAGTTTTTCTTCTCATTTTCTATGTTTTCTTAACCTAAATGTAACATTCATTTTGTTTCGGCTCCGTTATATTATTTTCACGAAACCAAAAATGAGTGTATGACAATGAAAGAAACTGTTTTGAATAACCCTGTAACGCAAGAAACCCACGCCACAATGACTACACTTGATTCTTTCTGCTACCCTTTTTTGTCTGAGTCGAAAAAGTTTACTCGTTGAAGACAAAAAGCGGATAGCTTTAGAAACAATGAGAGTATAGTTTACACAAGTCAACAAGCATTTTTCACAGGCGCAAAGATTCTGCAACAGATCTATGTTCTGATCCATGTGTTTTTTTGTTGTCCTACCTCGATCTCACATCAATGCTCGAGTTTCTTGTAATATTTGTGGGTTCTTGAATCCCCGGGATGTAAAACGCGGTAGTTGTCCCTGCGGTTCCTTCGTCTAACCCTTTCTTCTTGACAGTTTCTTCCCTGTTGTTGTTGTCATACTCCAGTGTCTGGAGGCGCAAACCGCCCTTACTGTTTTTGCAACCGCCAATTTCCATTTCCATATCATATTTATCTCCTCGGGGTCCAAAAGTTCGGTCTAGCTCAGATGCAATGGATCCAACCTCCTCGTCAGGTTCCTCTGGAGCCCAGTCTCTGAAGTTTGTCATGGGAGGTGGAATTCTAGCAAAGAACAACTCATATAGGTTCTTGAAGAGACCCTTTCCATAAGGGTTTTCTTTCTTGTCATACCGATACCGGAAATTCTCATAAGTTGTCTGGAAAAAACTAATAAAAGAATCAAAATTTGCAAAGATATAGCACAAAACAGAGCAGCAATAGTCAAATAAAGGTTAAGGATCTTGCCTGGTTGGTGCAAATGAGGTAAAGGTGGAAAACAGTGAGCCCGCCGACAAACCAGACAACGACAAAGCAGTAGAGGATGAGAACAACAAATACTAAGTCGTTTGTGATGACCATTAGCAACATCTTGCCGTGTACCTCAAGCATACTGACCCATGAGAAGACAAAGACGTACAAGCAGAGGAGTGTTGAAGTTGATATGAAACAGATGAAGTACGGATAGTTTCGCTGCAAAGACTGATGTTAAATCACAGATCCTACTTACACTTTTTGTTTCAGGAGATTCAAAAGAAAGGTTTTTGGAAGACTTACTAAAGCGATGCATTGGCCAACCCATGGACAATGATGATCAAACCTTTGAACACAGTTGTTACAGATCGAACAGTGAGAGGCGCGAGGAGGCCGGTAAAGCAAACATGTATCACAAAATTTAACTTTGACAGTATAACCATTCACCAGTATATCCTTGGTTCGAGGTATTTTTGTATTACCGAGTTTGTTATTTACCCATTCTGAGGATTGAGTGATCATATCAAGCCCTTCTGCTTCAGGAGCTTCTTTGTTTCTAGGGATAATCCCGGGATCTCTCGATGATGTTAAGAAGAGAAATATAAAATCCTGCAAAGAAGATGCATGAATATGAATAAAGGGCAACAAAGCTCACAGAGAAAGAAACATTATTTATAGGGCTTTACCAAGACAGTGAGCAAAAGTGCACCCAACAATACAAGAGAGTGGAACAAAGGATAGCGTTTCCCGATCAAAAAAGCCATTCGTATGCAGAAAGTGAGAGCAGGACCTCCAATCATAGCTGTTGTCAGAAGGAGAGAAGATGCATCTGGACCAAAGACTAGTCTCCCTCCGCAATAAAATCTCTGAACATAAAACAAGTCAAGCTGGTTCCGACATTGTTCAAATCTTATTCAGGACATGATACGTGGTTTGCAAGGCAAGTTATTGTGTCAGGCATTACAAAACCTTTTTCTTTTCGTTTGTCAAATTCAAAAACAACAGAAAAGCTTGCATTAGCGCAAAAGAAAAAAGGCTTACATTGTTGCCGGGCCAGAGTTGGTAGATCCTCTTGGGTTTATGATCTTGAGAAAACATTGTATCGTCATCGGAAGGAGCACTATGAACATGGCAGCTTTTCTTCCTCCCCATCACCATCTTCTTCTTCCTCAAGCCTCAGACTTAACGACGAAACGCCCAAAGCGTAATCTCCATTGCCTGGTTTGTGTGTCGTCGTTGTCGCGGCCAGCGAACGAAACCGGAGATTTCAGATCGCTGCCGCAGGGCTTTTGGCTCCTTTCTTCCTCCTCGTCGCAAACTCTCTGCCTCTCTGCCTCCACTCTCTCTCTCTCTCTCTTTCTTGCTAATTAAGGTTTGTGTCAAAGAATAGTTTCTCTCTCTTCCCCTTAAAGCTTTTTCCTCCGCCATTGGAATTGTTCGTCAACACCAACATCCATTCTCTCTGGAACATCCTTAACATAGCAAATCTCACCATTACAGCAATTTTCTATCTTTTTCTCCTGATTTTTAGCCAAAAGCCCTAATTTCGTTAACTCTCCCGCACGCGCCATTTTCTGTTTCAACAATCAACAACCGAAACTAAGGTTCAAAATGTTTTTTTTTTTTCACTTTGTAACGTTGTATTGTTGACCACGTGTCCAATATTTTTGAGTTACAACCGTTAGAATTTGCAAATTACATATTTGACTGCATAAACGAAGAAGTTTTAAACAACAGTTTTTGTGGAGTGAAGTTAGTATATTCCAATTAGAATTTGCAAATTATATTCCATAAAATCTAAGTGCATATGGGATATTACATATTTGACTATATATAATGGAATATTACCAGTTTACGAATGTTCAAATGCAATTAATTAGGTGAAAAATTCATTATACATTTTCTTTTTGTCAAAATTGTAAAAAATACACCCAGTTATCAAAACCACACAAATGTTCTGTCTTATGATTTATACTTAATTGTAAAATAAGACTAAACAAAATTTAGCATGTGTTAATTTTTAAAATATAATCGATGTACAAAAGTTTTGTTATGATTGTAAGAAGGATTGTGACCCTATAATCCCTTATATATTAATTGAGACACTCTTAAAAAATAAATTTATCCTCACATGCATGTTATTAACAAAATTATCATGTTGATATGTCAGCTCTCAGAAAAATTCTTAGCCAATTTATCCAATTTTTACTATTGTATTTACAAATTTTGTCATTAGTGTAATATATACATGTCTCACACAAAAAAAATATATCAAATTATATAAAGCAAATTATGAAGCAAATAAACTATTCACAAAATTGTATATAATTGTTTAGAAAACAAATTATCCTTTCAATCATTTTACGGATAAAAACTTTTTCGCTGATTTGAATTAAAAAAAAAATTTGATATTTCATAATAATTCAGATTTTGGATAGTAATATAATATATTTTGTAACTAAAACTATATTATATTTACTTAATAATTATTTCACGGGTAAACTGTAGTAAAGTAGTAAAAGAATATTGAGAATTAACTACGTACGTACAGCTTAGCAGAGATATCAATAATGGTACAAAACTACAAACTGATTCAATATACGACTCATTAAATGGTGAAGACTTATTAAATTATATCTTATTAGTTTTGGGTGAAAAAATAAAAAATAAAAATTATTTTTGATCAACATGTGTTAGGAAAATTATGTTCTTTATTAAAGGGATTATTGTCTAAAATGCCATTTTTTTTAAAAAACTTACGAAAAGACAATTTTTTGAATAGTTTGCGGATTTTGTCATTTTTAATACTTAAAAATGTACGTATTTATGATTTTTTTGCAAAAATACGTACTTTATATCAAATACTAAACCCTCAGAACAAATAGAACCGATTAAACCCAAACATAACAAGTGAAACGCATGTTAAATCATATTTTTGGAGCCTGAAAAATGGTAAAATCTACAAACTATTCAATAAATAGCAAAATCCACAAATGTCATTAAAAAAAATAGAAAAATCCTTAATTAATTCTTATTCTAACTTTGACCAAAAATTTTACCTTTTACAAGAAAGAACTTACCTCTTTATATTACAAGATCAAACTTACCCCTTAAATTACAAGATCATGTCTACTTGCCAAAACTAATATGATCTTATAATACTACAACATAATGAAGAATCATAGGGATTTGTCGTGATACACATACTTCAGTAGTCTTCACTACTATATATTATATATAATCAGTCTAAGCAAGAAGGTTAGATGAATAGAAAAAGGTGAAGAGATATCATAAAATGGCAATCACCATGAAAAGTTTAGTTGCAATTATTTTCACTGGCCTCCTCATCGTATCTTCTGTTCATTGTCGTGTGACAACTATTAGTACTCCAGGTATCATCAATTGGTTTCTTCTTATATCGCCACTTTGTAATTCTGATGAACAAGGTTTTGTCTTTTTATTATTATTAATGTATATCTATTTTACGTTAATAATTTTGATCAATAAATAGGTTATGGAATAAAGCACGAGGATCGTCGATGCCTCCAAGGACCAGAAGGAACAAAATTATGTAGTTCTGGATCAGTACGCGACTGCCTTAAGTTTTGTATAATTCGTGGTTATACTAGTGCCACGTGTATTACTCCTGATGAATGTTGTTGTCACATTCCTCCAAACTAAAATAATTTATTGGTTACATAACGTACATCTATCACGAAATAAATAAACTTTCGAAATTACTTTGATTAACTTGAGCAGTAGTTTCTGCAATTTGAACAAAATCTAAAATATATCGAAATCATATATATGAAATTTGGTCAACTCTCTTCATATGAGTGACACATCATAACTTTAGTATTAGACATGTATCCACTAATAATTAATGTAAGTTAGTGGAACATATATTATTTAATTATACATATTATAAAAATTAACATATTTAATTGTATTAATACTAATTATATTTAATTTTTTTTTCTTCAATATAATTATTTTATTGGGTTTCTGATATTCTGGAATCTCTTAAAATCATTAAAAAGCCAATGCCTACAATGCTTCCATCGAATAACAGTGGATTTTAAATTAGTTTTCCAAACCACTAGTTTAATTACACCGGATTTTAGAAGATCTTTTAAAATTCATGGTTAAATAACACAAATTATTTGAATACACCTTCTAAATACTGAATATGGGGAAACAAATCACATATTTAACTACCATATCGCCAATATATCCACGTAATTAGGTAAAATTCTTGATACACCTTCTAAATATATGAGGAAAACAAATCATATTCAACTATGTATAAAAGAATGAATACCATATTATTTGGGAAAAAAATAACCATATCACCAGTGTATAAGCGTATTGGGGTAAAAGAGAAAAAAATTAAATTTGGGGCCAATGTGTGTCTAAATAGAAGATATAATTCAAACTTTGATGAGAGGGGAATATCTTTCACAAATAAGAACTTAATTACCCTTTAATATTACAAGATCGTATCTACAATTGCCAAATAATACAACATAAAGACGGATTTATTATCATCCCACTCATAGGGATTTGTCGTGATACACATGCATGGGCCAATATTTAATCAAATAGATACTCCCTTGATCTTCCTTGGTGTATTACATACCCAAATATATATTTGTGTCACTATATATATATATATATATAATCAGTCTAAGCAAAGAAGAAACAGATAAAATAGAAAAAGGTTAAGAGATTATCATAAAATGGCAATCACCATGAAAAGTTTAGTTGCAATTATTTTCACTGCCCTCCTCATCGTATCTTCTGTTCATTGTCATATGACAACTATTAGTACTCCAGGTATCATCAATTGGTTTCTTCTTATATCGCCACTTTGTAATTCTGATGAACAAGGTTTTGTTTTTTTATTATTATTAATGTATATCTATTTTACGTTAATAATTTTGATCAATAAATAGGTTATGGAATAAAGCAGGAGGATCGTCGATGCCTCCAAGGACCAGAAGGAACAAAATTATGTAGTTCTGGATCAGTACGCGACTGCCTTAAGTTTTGTATAATTCGTGGTTATTCTAGTGCCACGTGTATTACTCCTGATGAATGTTGTTGTCACATTCCTCCAAACTAAAATAATTTATTGGTTACATAACGTACATCTATCACGAAATAAATAAACTTTCGAAATTACTTTGATTAACTTGAGCAGTAGTTTCTGCAATTTGAACAAAATCTAAAATATATCGAAATCATATATATGAAATTTGGTCAACTCTCTTCATATGAGTGACACATCATCACTTTAGTATTAGACATGTATCCACTAATAATTAATGTAAGTTAGTGGAACATATATTATTTAATTATACATATTATAAAAATTAACATATTTAATTGTATTAATACTAATTATATTTAATTTTTTTTTCTTCAATATAATTATTTTATTGGGTTTCTGATATTCTGGAATCTCTTAAAATCATTAAAAATCCAATGCCTACAATGCTTCCATCGAATAACAGTGGATTTTAAATTAGTTTTCCAAACCACTAGTTTAATTACACCGGATTTTAGAAGATCTTTTAAAATTCATGGTTAAATAACACAAATGATTTGAATACACCTTCTAAATACTGAATATGGGGAAACAAATCACAGGTTTAACTACCATATCGCCAATATATAAACGTAATTAGGTAAAAATTCTTGAATACACCTTCTAAATATATGAGGAAAACAAATCATATTCAACTATGTATAAAAGAATAAATACCATATTATTTGGGAAAAAAATTACCATATCACCAATGTATAAACGTAATTAGGTAAAAAAGAAAAAAATTTAATTTTTGGTCAACATGTGTCTAAATAGAAAAGATAATTCAAACTTTGATGAGAAGGGAATATCTTTTACAAATAAGAACTTAATTACCCCTTAATATTACAAGATCGTATCTACAATTGCCAAATAATACAACATAAAGACGGATTTATTATCATCCCACTCATAGGGATTTGTCGTGATACACATGCATGGGCCAATATTTAATCAAATAGATACTCCCTTGATCTTCCTTGGTGTATTACATATCCAAATATATATTTGTGTCACTATATATATATATATATATAATCAGTCTAAGCAAAGAAGAAACAGATAAAATAGAAAAAGGTTAAGAGATTATCATAAAATGGCAATCACCATGAAAAGTTTAGTTGCAATTATTTTCACTGCCCTCCTCATCGTATCTTCTGTTCATTGTCATATGACAACTATTAGTACTCCAGGTATCATCAATTGGTTTCTTCTTATATCGCCACTTTGTAATTCTGATGAACAAGGTTTTGTTTTTTTTTATTATTATTAATGTATATCTATTTTACGTTAATAATTTTGATCAATAAATAGGTTATGGAATAAAGCAGGAGGATCGTCGATGCCTCCAAGGACCAGAAGGAACAAAATTATGTAGTTCTGGATCAGTACGCGACTGCCTTAAGTTTTGTATAATTCGTGGTTATTCTAGTGCCACGTGTATTACTCCTGATGAATGTTGTTGTCACATTCCTCCAAACTAAAATAATTTATTGGTTACATAACGTACATCTATCACGAAATAAATAAACTTTCGAAATTACTTTGATTAACTTGAGCAGTAGTTTCTGCAATTTGAACAAAATCTAAAATATATCGAAATCATATATATGAAATTTGGTCAACTCTCTTCATATGAGTGACACATCATAACTTTAGTATTAGACATGTATCCACTAATAATTAATGTAAGTTAGTGGAACATATATTATTTAATTATACATATTATAAAAATTAACATATTTAATTGTATTAATACTAATTATATTTAATTTTTTTTTCTTCAATATAATTATTTTATTGGGTTTCTGATATTCTGGAATCTCTTAAAATCATTAAAAATCCAATGCCTACAATGCTTCCATCGAATAACAGTGGATTTTAAATTAGTTTTCCAAACCACTAGTTTAATTACACCGGATTTTAGAAGATCTTTTAAAATTCATGGTTAAATAACACAAATGATTTGAATACACCTTCTAAATACTGAATATGGGGAACAAATCACATATTTAACTACCATATCGCCAATATATAAACGTAATTAGGTAAAAATTCTTGAATACACCTTCTAAATATATGAGGAAAACAAATCATATTCAACTATGTATAAAAGAATAAATACCATATTATTTGGGAAAAAAATACCATATCACCAATGTATAAACGTAATTAGGTAAAAAAGAAAAAAATTTAATTTTTGGTCAACATGTGTCTAAATAGAAAAGATAATTTGATGAGAAGGGAATATCTTTTACAAATAAGAACTTAATTACCCCTTAATATTACAAGATTGTATCTACAATTGCCAAATAATACAACATAAAGACGGATTTATTATCATCCCACTCATAGGGATTTGTCGTGATACACATGCATGGGCCAATATTTAATCAAATAGATACTCCCTTGATCTTCCTTGGTGTATTACATACCCAAATATATATTTGTGTCACTATATATATATATATATATATATATATATATAAAGAAGAAACAGATAAAATAGAAAAAGGTTAAGAGATTATCATAAAATGGCAATCACCATGAAAAGTTTAGTTGCAATTATTTTTTAGTTGCAATTATTTTCACTGCCCTCCTCATCGTATCTTCTGTTCATTGTCGTATGACAACTATTAGTACTCCTTCTTATATCGCCACTTTGTAATTCTGATGAACAAGGTTTTGTTTTTTTATTATTATTAATGTATATCTATTTTACGTTAATAATTTTGATCAATAAATAGGTTATGGAATAAAGCAGGAGGATCGTCGATGCCTCCAAGGACCAGAAGGAACAAAATTATGTAGTTCTGGATCAGTACGCGACTGCCTTAAGTTTTGTATAATTCGTGGTTATTCTAGTGCCACGTGTATTACTCCTGATGAATGTTGTTGTCACATTCCTCCAAACTAAAATAATTTATTGGTTACATAACGTACATCTATCACGAAATAAATAAACTTTCGAAATTACTTTGATTAACTTGAGCAGTAGTTTCTGCAATTTGAACAAAATCTAAAATATATCGAAATCATATATATGAAATTTGGTCAACTCTCTTCATATGAGTGACACATCATCACTTTAGTATTAGACATGTATCCACTAATAATTAATGTAAGTTAGTGGAACATATATTATTTAATTATACATATTATAAAAATTAACATATTTAATTGTATTAATACTAATTATATTTAATTTTTTTTTCTTCAATATAATTATTTTATTGGGTTTCTGATATTCTGGAATCTCTTAAAATCATTAAAAATCCAATGCCTACAATGCTTCCATCGAATAACAGTGGATTTTAAATTAGTTTTCCAAACCACTAGTTTAATTACACCGGATTTTAGAAGATCTTTTAAAATTCATGGTTAAATAACACAAATGATTTGAATACACCTTCTAAATACTGAATATGGGGAACAAATCACATATTTAACTACCATATCGCCAATATATAAACGTAATTAGGTAAAAATTCTTGAATACACCTTCTAAATATATGAGGAAAACAAATCATATTCAACTATGTATAAAAGAATAAATACCATATTATTTGGGAAAAAAATACCATATCACCAATGTATAAACGTAATTAGGTAAAAAAGAAAAAAATTTAATTTTTGGTCAACATGTGTCTAAATAGAAAAGATAATTCAAACTTTGATGAGAAGGGAATATCTTTTACAAATAAGAACTTAATTACCCCTTAATATTACAAGATCGTATCTACAATTGCCAAATAATACAACATAAAGACGGATTTATTATCATCCCACTCATAGGGATTTGTCGTGATACACATGAATAGATACTCCCTTGATCTTCCTTGGTGTATTACATACCCAAATATATATTTGTGTCACTATATATATATATATAATCAGTCTAAGCAAAGAAGAAACAGATAAAATAGAAAAAGGTTAAGAGATTATCATAAAATGGCAATCACCATGAAAAGTTTAGTTGCAATTATTTTCACTGCCCTCCTCATCGTATCTTCTGTTCATTGTCGTATGACAACTATTAGTACTCCAGGTATCATCAATTGGTTTCTTCTTATATCGCCACTTTGTAATTCTGATGAACAAGGTTTTGTTTTTTTTATTATTATTAATGTATATCTATTTTACGTTAATAATTTTGATCAATAAATAGGTTATGGAATAAAGCAGGAGGATCGTCGATGCCTCCAAGGACCAGAAGGAACAAAATTATGTAGTTCTGGATCAGTACGCGACTGCCTTAAGTTTTGTGTAATTCGTGGTTATTCTAGTGCCACATGTATTACTCCTGATGAATGTTGTTGTCACATTCCTCCAAACTAAAATAATTTATTGGTTACATAACGTACATCTATCACGAAATAAATAAACTTTCGAAATTACTTTGATTAACTTGAGCAGTAGTTTCTGCAATTTGAACAAAATCTAAAATATATCGAAATCATATATATGAAATTTGGTCAACTCTCTTCATATGAGTGACACATCATCACTTTAGTATTAGACATGTATCCACTAATAATTAATGTAAGTTAGTGGAACATATATTATTTAATTATACATATTATAAAAATTAACATATTTAATTGTATTAATACTAATTATATTTAATTTTTTTTTCTTCAATATAATTATTTTATTGGGTTTCTGATATTCTGGAATTTTTTGAGTAGGTTATTCTCTTAAAAACTTTTCTATATAATATATTAAAAATGGTGAGGAGAACGTCAGAACCTCTAATATCAAATTATTAGACTAAAATCCTCAATGATGGAGTTCGTATTGTTTTAGTTGTTTTTGCAAAAGTGGCAACGATAAAAATTTAAAGACAAGAATTATTTTACATTTATGTTTCGACAAATCAATAAGGCTTATCAAGGTTTGGTTCTATTTGTTTATTTGCTATAAACTAATAATTTCGTTATTCAAACGAAACGACAGCCCAATTATCAATGCTTAACATTTATATCTAAATACTATAATCATTATTGATTTTAGTGCGGGTACTCCAATCTTCTTTGCATTTTGTCTTCTTCTTTTGGTTTAAGGATAACAGTAATAAAAGAATATTATAAAAAGATAATATGTAGTGAGAACAATTTTTTATTAGGAATCTAAATGTATATGCAAAAAAAAGCAGATTTATATGTTTAATATCAGGGTAATCTCGTTTGAAATTTTGTCTTCTTGTCTAGTAATAAAAACTAACATAATGT